TTTGGTTTTTTTTACGAAGTTTTTTGATTTGAAATTTGAAAAGTACGACGGGAAAAGTACCCTTGTGGATTTCGCCAGTGGTTACTATTGGCACGAACTACCACTCAGGCTATTTACGAATGCCTTCGTCTCTAAAGTAAATACCGATGAGTTTTGACTTTTTGATGTGAAGCACTTGCCGGTATGGCTATAGAGCACAGGATGATTAATAAATCATATCATTTTCGTTAGTAGTTTATCTGTATGGTTTAAGTATGTTGCTTGTGCTGTGACGTGTTGCCTCAGTGCAATGGTGGTTGGGCGTAATTTCTCCACTATTTAGGCATAAGGAAGCTTTCGGACGAAAAAAAATCCTAGTTTATTTGACAAATTTTAGCCTTTTTTTAACTTTTTTTGACAAGTTTTTTTTAACTTTTTTTTTTGATTTTAACCTTTTTTTCGTAAATCAAAAGTCAAAACATCCTTCGTATAGATTCTTTTTGAGAAGCGAAAGCATTTAGAAGCTGCACATACCACCAGCAAGCACTCGCTGCACGACTGTTGATGGCTGTCTTTTTTTTCGAGTTGCTTAGAAGTAAGCTGATGACGGGTCTGACCCCCCTGGCATATATTTGTACCAATTTACCATCGAAACGAATGAACGAATCGTAGAGGGACTGGTTGTTCTGTCGGTGAAATCGAACCTGCAACCGCCTGCACGAATCAACGGCATTATTTTTCTTCATATGTTTATTGTAAATTAACACGAATTTTTGTGTTTTTATGCATTAATCCTCTTTTTTTTTGAGCCTTTTCGTATGCACAATCTTATGGGACCAGCATTATCCTATTTTTCATTTCTGTTCTGTTGGCATTCGGCGCTCAGTCACATTGCCTATTGCTGCTATTTGCAAGTTGAATGATGAAAATAAAAAATTTTTGTGATTATTGCGCAGATGTTTTGTTTTGCTTCGTTTTTCAGCAAGTCTGGGACGTTTCCTTGATGTTCTTGTTCTCAAGTTAGCATGTAACTAGTACACACAGTTAGTGTACTTTTTTTGTTCGATTTTTGCATTTATGCAAATTGATATTGTGAGGATACGTGTTCCCGGTCTCCGCGCCCATTCTGCTATTTGTGAAGTTGGGGTGCTTAAGTATTTAGTCTGGCCCGTGTTTTTTCCAGAATCCCGTGTTAGGTGACTGTTTAGCAACAACTCAAGATCGATGAGGGTAGTATCGGCATGAATGCTGCGGTTTTACGTGCAAATCTGACGCCCGCATAAACAGTCTGCGAACCGTACTCCAGAGACTCAGAAGACCGTCTGTTTTTCCCAGTAACTATAGCAGGAGTTGGGTTTACGAAATTCGGATGTTAAGAACTGCGGAATCAGCCTAACTTTAAGTCTGGGAGTGTAGGTTAAGAAGCGGCTGGACCGAAAGGGTGACTTCATTTTTTATTGCACCAAAATTGCTGCTGCACTAATCTATCAAAATTCCTGACCGTTAATTTTGCTCGTTTTTGTCATATAAAACTGGCCGAAATTAACCCTCTTCTGCCGTAAAACTGGCCCAAAACGGAGCCTGGAAACCCTACGCCAGAGACTCAGCGCGACCGTCTGTTTTTTCTAGTAACTATGGCGGGGGCTGGGTTCACGAGATTCGGATGTTAGGAGCTGCAGGATCAGTACCTCTCTCTCGACTAATGAAAATATTCGAAAAGTTTGTGAAACATGCAAGAAGAGCATATAATAGTATTAAATAGTCAAAATAATGTTAAGTTGTTCTAAACTGCCAGTTCTAGCGGCAGTTTTGTTTAAAATTCTTTTTGTAATGGAGATCGTTCTTGGTCTCAGAGGCGTATCAGCCGAAGCGTGTCAATAAAGTTATCAGCATTGTTTTTTACGAGTTTTCTATCATTATTGCCTCAAATATAGCTACTTCATTTCTCTCTCTCTCACCAAATTCTTTCTCCAAACCAAATTTTCAAAAGAAATTATACCTATCCTCAGGATTAAATAATATGAAATACTTGTCATCTTATTAAGTAATCGCAAGAGCGGCCGATTTATTGGCACATGGCATAGATTCGTGTTGCGTTATTGTGGCCTTAAGCCTCCTTGACTTCATTAAAGATGACCCAGGTGCCTCATGTTACAAAAAGAATGTCTAAATTTCCAGCTTTTATAGCTTCTAGAATATGAATTAGTCTGCATAGATGCAAAATGTTTGAAAATGTTTGCGATCTAGGCTGGAAGTTGCTGGAAAAAACCGGGCTAGAAAGCACCAGGCGAGCCGGTGCGATCATGCATTTTTGCGCTAAACTTGAAATAATTAGGTTAACTACATGAACGATTGTTTCTCCACATCTTTCTTGTGTATTCAATACCGTAAATCATCGTAAATTTTGCATAAAAGGAAATAATTTCCGTTTAGCGGTCGCTTTTTGAAAATGACCCAGCTATTCAGTGAGTAGTTTCCCCGCCAAAAATTTAATTGCCCATACACGAGGATCACGCTTACGTGGAGGCTGAATTTGAAACCTTTAAGTTGTATTTGGGCGGGGAATATTCTTCTAAAATCTCAGCTTTCCAGCTTTTCTGATTCCCGAGTTAGCATTTTCTCCGCCAAAACATTCACAGGGCTATACGTGACCTGGGAGCTGGGTTTGGAATGTTTAAGTTGTACCTGAGCTGAGAATATCCCTTTAAAGTTTCTGCCTTCCAGCTTTCCTGGTTCCCAAGTTAGCCATTTTCCCGCCAAAGAGTTTCACGTGGCCATACATGAGTACCGGCATGCTTGGGGCTGGATTTGATAACTCTAAGTTCTGCATGAATTATGAACATCCCTTTAAAATTCCAGCCTCCCAGCTTTCCTTTTTCTTAAGTTAGCCATTTTTCGCCCAAAAAATCTCACGGAACTGTACGTGAGAACCGCGCATGCCTGGGGCCTGAATTTGATAATTTTAAGTTGCATGCGCGATGGAAACATCCCCTGAAAATTTTAGCTTCCCAGCTTTCCTGGTTCCCAAGTTAACGACTTCTGCGCCAGGAACCCTCACGGGGCCGTGCGCGGGAACCGCGCATACCTGG